AGCATTCCCCGATACTTTGCGGTTTTGTTTCTTGGTTTTGGTGGCGGCGGTCTCTCAGTTCCACGCCTCCAAAGCCTCGTAACATAACCGGCTTGTTGAAATTGAAAGAAAGAGGGTTTGACTAAATTCGAAGAGAAGGTAGTTTGTTTTAAGAGAAATGTGGGACGAAATAATACATTGGATGCGATTTTCGCAAAAGAATTCATAGTAAGAGTTACAAGATTGACTCCGACGAGAACCACATTCACATATTCATGATGATCACGTGACAATTTATGAAATTAATATTTTTAAAAGAATTTTTTATTAAATTATTTTCTATAATAAAAATTGAATTAAAAATTTTTTATTTTTTATATTTTTTATTATAAACAAAATTATAAATTATTAAACTTATTATATCATATCTTGAAAACTTTTTTGAATTGTATTTATCAAATACAAATAAATAGAATAACTTTTTCAAAATAAAAGTGATTTATATAATATTTTAAATATATGAATAATATAACTTAACAAATACAATATGATACAAAAAAAAATAATTATTATATTTATATTTATAACTTAATAAATAATTTATAAACATTTATAAACATATATGTAGTTAAATATCTTATAAACAACTTTACTTAATATTGTATTAATCAATATATTAATATTTTTTTAATTATTATTTAATTTTTATAATAAAAAATTTATAACAAAAATTTTTGAACATTTTTTAATATTTATGTATATAATTTGTTAATAAATTAATAATTAAAAATTAAAAAACAATAATTTTTAAAAAAAATTTTTTTTATAACTTTATCTTTAAAACAAAATATATCAAAAAGTTAAAAATTAAAATTATTTAACTAGTTTTTGTTATTATATTTGCAAAAGTATATTAATACAATATTAAATTATAAAAAAATTATTGTTTTTTTTTGTATCCTACTGTATATTACTAATTAAAAATGATAGAAAAAGAATTAATCATTAATTATCTATAAAATCTTTAGATTTTAAACTTTATCTTAATATATTTTTGATTAATTTTATGCAATAGTTTTTGAATAATGAGTAAATAAAAAATTTTGAAAAATTTTGCAACACACTATATATTTTGCTATCAAGACATATATTTTGAATTTATTGCATTGTAAATAAATTAACAAGGTTATTGTTCTAATAAATAATATGATAATTATCAGTTTTCTTTGTTTTTTTTTAACTTGATAAAGATATAATTATCTCAATTGAATTATGTTGTTATTGAAAATTTTCTACAGAATTATCTTTTAATTACATATACTTTTATAAGTTATTAAATGCAAAAGTACAAATTCCAAATGGCAATATATCTTTTAATGAATATTGGTACTATTAATATTAAAAGTCATATATTTAAAGCACGCATATGCTTAAAGAGAGTTTGGTTTTAACTTTAAAAATTGTTATTTAACGACCTCCGAAATTCTTTTCGTTTCACAAACACGAATTAAATAAAAATTGGTCGATTGTGATCACAAGCCACTTTGTAAGCGGAAACAAAAAAATCGAGACTCGTCCAATATATCATTTTATCATCGAAAGAGCATAGCAAACACCCAACCCATTAATTCTATAAAGAAAGAGAAAAGAATTAAATATCTTAATTGCCACGTGAAATGGGACCTGAAAAAGAAAAAGAACAAGAAACGGCTGGTTCTTTTAATGCCATGAATAACTCGCTATCAGCTACAAACAACGGAAATGCTAAAGAGATTAGCATGAATATCATAAAGGATTCGACAAGGGTTCATACACCAAAACCTACGATAACTCAACAAGTTCAATCGATTGCTTCAAACACACTGAAAAGTTTGAGTCCAAGTAAGTAAAAAAAAGAATATGATCTTGGGAGTATTGTTCTAGTACCACGCGTACTCAAATTCTTTCATCTGAATTTTTTAGACTTTACATCGTCTGTACCATATGATTCTTCACAAATTGCGGAGTATATATTAAATGTTCTACGTAAGCAGCGTACAATAATCAGTTCCTCGTTGTACGGGAAACGTGATTTACCAAAATTATTTCTTTCGTCCATCAATCCCTGTAGCTGAGAGACCGGGAGAAAACGAGATTTTTGACAGTTTTCTTAAGAGTAGAGAAAATATGACAATCTATAATATGGAAGAGCGTCCATCGAATCCTGTGAATATAAAGTCAAGTTCATCGCCACATCCGACGAAGAATGATAAACACATTTCTCAGATTGCAAGCAAATCTGGACAACAATTCGCCAATCAAAAGCGAAGAATATCCTCCGGTTATTTCGGTACATCTGATCCTGTGATTATTTCTGATGAAGATGAGGAGAAGAATGAGAGGAGAGTATCAAAAAACACGAAACAAAGTAATTACATTTTATTTTCAAACGAAGAAGAGGAAGACCATGCATGGATTACAGAGAAAGAGAGAATGGTGAAGCTTTATTCCCATAAACTTCATCTACGTAAACCACGAATGCAGGACCCCAATCTTTGTTCTCACGAAATAGAATTTCTGTCGGATTTTGATGATGACGATTAATAAAGTTCGGATATACAGTATATGCCTAAACTTAAACTAATGTATTTGTGTCAAATAATCATTTCGATAATAAAATAATTATTCGTCACGTGAATTTTAACTCGGTTCCAGGTAGCACAACCAAAATATACAAATTAAATTAAACATAAACCTCGCTGGCCTCTTCAGCACAGTAGGGTTTTTCTTTTTGCAACCTTTCAGATTTCTAAACGCGTAGAAAACGCGGTATGAAAGACTTTTGGAACATTGATTGTGAAAAGATGTCTACCTATTAAAATAACGACATTTATTTTCTTCCCACTATCAGGAAACGGTGAAATCACTCGTCGTTTTCGGAATACCTTTATTCAGACGAGTATCAGTGTTTATAAACATCCCCGAAATAACACCGAGCACCATCTTTTTCTTTACTCAAATTTAAGAAACAACTCAAGATTTTTCTAGAAACCGCACTCTTAAAAGAGACGCGGGTTTGATTATTAGAATCGTCATCAAAAAGCCATGGCGGAATTACAAAAATTCGTAGATTGTATCCTTTTTCTTTTTATTTGGAATTCCCGAAATTCGAAGAACATAATCAATTCATTATAGTATATTATATAACAGCGTTATATAATAATTGATTAAAATTTTTAATTTATCTTACCTCCGTGATATCGATTATCTTCGAATAGCGAGATATTCCCACCAATATTGACATACGACGTCACGTAAAAATTGACATTCCTTAACTCACTTCACTTTACCCTTCGAATTAAAATTTTGCGCTCACCACAGTAACGGTTGAAATCATCACTTCGGATGGACGTGTCATAGTGGTATTCATTTTGTTTAACGGAAGGAGATACTTTGTGAATTATTTAATTCTTAAAGCACATTAACATTTTCCAACATGTTATTTCGTAAAAGGGATTGCTAAAGGGATTCGATCAAACGATAAACGTGATCCTCTCAAATTGCCATGAACGGGTCTATTCCGAAAATGAAGGAGTGGAAAAGATGAGTCTTGGGTTGTACATAATACGAGGGGATAATATGTGAGGGCCACCTTTCTTTTATAATGAGTGAAATTTGCCATTTTCTTGGGTTCTAATATGTATGTGACTACGCGCCGACACTCTTTATTCTGCAGAGTTCTAATCGGTGAACTTGATCAAGAACGAGACGCATCAATAAATCTATCCGAGATCAGGGCTGCGCCTATTAATGACATTACCAGACGTTGACTTGACTTCGTGTCCATCTAAATCCTGATGTTGAAATTGATGGAATGAAAAATTTCCTGCATAACTTCACTCATTCCATGTAATTCAGTATCAAGTCAAGATCATCGAGCGCTATAGCAGCCAACCAATAAGTATATCGTAATACAGATCAGATACCATTATTTTATTATGTTATTATTATTCCAGGAGGGAAATAATTAATAATCACTGTTCAATCTACACAAGTGTGATAATCCAATGATTAAATGATCTCTCAGTAATACCGAGTTTAGGACAAAATAATTTGTGACGTCATCCGTGACACCTGCGAACAAGTGTAATAAATTCTTGATAATGATTTTTCAGACAAGAATCATGCTCGTTACATTAAGTGATATGTAATCTGTGTATGCGTATTTGCTGCCACCGTATAAATGATTTTTTAAAATCTTCAATAATCATGAGCTCCCCTATCATAATTGGCACCTCCGGCTTTTCGGAGTTTCGTGAGGATTTCCCCTTCATCGAGCTCGGACTTTTCGTGAGCATTGATTTCGACTGCGTAAGCCTACTAAGTGAAGAATTATTTAAAAGACGAGTGGTATGGAAAGAACAACTCGTTAAGCAGGTCTCCAATGAACCAACAGTGATTCTACTTAAAATAAGAATCTTGACCCAGCTATTATAACCTCAAAGTAATAGAACTCCCACCTGGATAACTCTTTTTACGTCAGCTACATGCACCGATAATTTTGCTTTTCTCATGACTTTGACACTACTTCCAATCCAGGTTACAAATACAAACTTTGTCCTTACACTTAATTCATCATTCGACACATTTAATCTTATATAACCAAACGCTGCCTGAGATTCATCGAGTTCTCTCACAAATTCGGAGAGACCCTGTGTGCCTTTTTTTTTTAAAACAATCTGGTCCGACTTATCCGAAGCGTATTGAAGAAGCAGCCTGATAGATGTGAATAAGGAATTTGAAGCTTAAATTCGGACAGAAAGTGAAGATGTGCTAGTGCAATTGGTGTACGGTGGAGAAGAAAAGTTAAAGTCGGTGGAACTCTCTACTTACCAATTTGTTTCGTTCCTGTCGTCCCTTACTTCGTCATAGGTTTCACCTGAACATAAATTTATCGGAAGCGGAGTAAATAAATAAATGATAACTTGTTATTAACAAAATAAATCGCTCTTTATATCATATTTACGAATGATAGGATCGGACACGTCTGCCATTAATGCGGATTTTTTAAAATAGCGAAAATAAGAGTATGCTAAATTACCGATTAACAATGATCTCGAAACTTTCTCAATTGTAACATGTTCGGCTTCGACAAACCTTGTACGCACATGCCAGTGTGACAAGGATGCCTAAAACATTCAGTAATTACTTAACAGTGTAATAATACAATTTAACACGATAAAGTCAAATATGAAGATTTTTAAAAATAAATTAATTAATTAAAAATTTTAATAATAAAAAATTTAATAATAAAAATAATAATAAAATCCTTAACTCCTTTATGAAGAAAAAAATTAATTAATTATTACAATACTATATATTTTTTAATTTTGAAAAATTATTAAAATAAATTTATTTAATCTAAAATTTACTTTAAATATAAAAATTTGAAAATATAATAATCATTAATTTTATAATAAAATATTAATTTAAAAAATTTTTTTAAAAAAATGATAAAATTTATTTATTTATTAAAATATATTGCAAGAAATTATAAAAATATTTTTATAATGGATATATTTAATATTTTTATTTATAAAGATCATTAATAAAACTTTTTTTAAAAAACCAATCTTATTATAAAAATGTTTTATTTTTAAATTTTATTTTAAAATATTTTCTAATTGATAAAAATTATATACAGTATATTAAACCAATTTAATAATATTTTATAATAAAATTTTTGAAATATAGTTTCAAAATATTTTTTTGATTTTTTAAATCATAATTTAAAACTTTATTAGCATTATATACAGTATATTTAAAAGAATTCCTCACATTCTTTATGTTTTTATCAATTGGTTATTGATTTAGAAAACCAAAATTTTGGTGCCAAACTGTATGATGAACAATATAAACTGAAAAAAATATTATTATTGCAATTATGTTATTGTCCGTATTTATTTATTCATAAGTTTTTTGTTTATCTTGCACATTCTATGTAATTAAAATTTCTCTTTAGTAACATAATCGATATTTAATTAAATATTTGATTTTTGAAACCCTTTACATTTATATATATGGTTAAAATCCCTTTACAGGTCACGAGGTTACACGGAAGTAATCTGTATATGTAGAAATTGTTGAAACGCATCGCATTGATTACATTAAAAATGGCTCTGACTCCAAGTAATAATAATAAAGCTTTAGTTCTTCAAACTCCATCTGTCGAGACTACTATAAAACCCAAGCAAGAAGTTTTGGACGAAGACACCTATACGGAGGCATTGAGTGGAATAATCAAGCGTGATTTTTTTCCTTCTCTCTTGACTCTCGAAGCGCAACATGATTACGTAGACGCTTTGGGTACAAACAATCCTGATCTAATTATCGAAGCCACTCGTAAACTTAACGGGCTAACTACACCAACTATGAAGACACCGGGTATGTCATCTGATTTGATGATGTCTCTAGAGTTTCTTGTAATAATTCCTTCAAAAATAACTAGTTACTTCGGGATCACGCGGAGATTGGGATACTCCTGTGTCGAACGTATTTAAAGTTCCTGCTCCTAAGAAGTATAATGAAAACCTATCACTGGACGCATTTCAAGCAAAGTATACAAGCGAAGATAATGCCTCATATCCTTAAGAAAATTTGTATATGTTATTATATTTTTGTATATTTAAGTTATCAAATATTTCTTATTAACTCCTTAACCTGGCTCGTACCTTTTCAGAATTAATGATAAAGAACAATCAACAGAGGAAAGAAAAGTACAAATGGATGTATGAGAAAGAAGATAATCCATTGATGATTGAAGACAATAAGGATAATCCAAAGATGATTGAAGGACCTTTAAACGATAAACCTGCAGAAATTGCTTCTTGGAAATATAAAGTACTACTTATTCTTTTTTTAATTACCCATTTAATAATTCATCTTGTGACTAACTAAATTATCTTTAAGGTAAAAAATTCTTTGATGTTTTATCCAGAAGGCGGACATCAAACTCCTGAGGATAATCCAAGACGAGCTCCGAAAAAAATAGTTCATAGTGCTACTAGGTTCGAGTCGGCTGATGAAGCAGTAAGGGATTATAATCTTAGGTTGTTCATTAATTAATTGTCAGTGATTAAATTATATTTATGGGCTAATCTCATTATTTAATTTAAAGACTATTAATAACCATGCGGCGGCGACCGCGGTGGCTGCCGCGGCAGCCGGATTAAATCCAGAATCCACTCCAGGTTCATATTTATTCTTGCATATCTCCTTTCACTTATTCTATTTGGAATTTACATTTGTTTATATTGTCGATTAGAAAGCAGCACCACTAATACGCCTAGAGTGGGAGGTTACAGTTTTGTATCTGCCACACCGTCGCCAAATCCATCTCAATTCGATTCTTCAGAGTTGATGACATGGGGTACAATTGAAGGCAGTCCTCTGTTAATTGGTGGAGATCAGACACCGGGTATGGTTTATAATTTCATATCATTTATTGAAATTCTTAAACGTTTCTTATTGTGAAATCATTTTGAGATATAATGTGAATCTATGATGTTAACAATTTATAAGGGCCCACCTTTCAATTGCCGCCGACTCCAAGAAGAGAAATTATTGGAATGAATCTTTCAAACAGTGCCTCACGTAACATTCGAAAACGTAATATGTCTTTGAGGTCCCCACGTGTTTCATTATCACCTAGTCCGCTATCAAGGTTTGCGATCTCAAATTGCATATATAACATGTTATTATTTCAAGGTTGTTTTATACAGGTTTTACTTTTGAAGGATGGCAAGTCCGAGAGCGCGTGCATCTTTATTGTCTCCTGCAGCCCGAAAATTACTTCGCAAGTCTAATATGTCTCCTAAAGTTGGCGTAGATTCCCAATTGAGAGATTTATATGCATCACCAACTATGACATGTAAGAATATTATTAAACGTTATACCTTAAAATATATTCCTGATTCAGATTTATGCTAATTCCTTTAAATAATCATCTTAAGCATCAGCTGCACTCAAGTATGCCGCACCAAAAAAGAAAAGGGCTCCAGTGACTGACAATCCCACTTCACCACTCATAAAAACCAGTGGTAATGAAGACAATTTATCCAATGATCAATAAAGAATTGTAAAAATTATTTCGTTTAGGCTAGTATTTTTCTGTTGTTTTATGTCCGCTATTGAGCGGGGATAATAATAACACTTGAACTAATTACAAAGGTAATCTATTTCTAAGATGTCAATTATTGCATATATTACATTTTTGGATTTATAAAATACGTATGTGAAATTGAAATTATAAATGTTAAATTATTTTTATTTAAAATTGATATATTGAAAAATTTTTAATAATATACATACGTTTAAAATAAAATTCAAAATAAAATGCCGAAACAAAATTAATTTTTAGTTTCAAAACTAAATCCAAAATTTGAAATTAAATCCGAAATCCAAAATTACACTAAAATTTAAACTTAAATTCAAAATTCAAAATTAAATTTAAAACTTTAATCTTGAATTTATTGTATTTAATTTAAATTTAAATTTCAATATAAAAAGAATCCTGGTTAAATATAAATTGAAATTAAGTGTGTCAAAATTAAGTTTACAATTATTAAATGTAAAGTTAATTTCAACAAACATATAATATATAGTATATAAATATTTAATACATATTATCATTAAAATAACTAGTAAATAAAGAAATGCAGTAATATACGATACATTAAGATTTCCGTGGTTTTTTAGTTTTAATCATATTTATAAAAAGGTGTTTAAAAGTTATCGATTTTTTATTAGAAATAATACCAAATTGATAAATAATGATTTTTATTTAATAAATAAAAATTAAAAATGTAAAAACATTTATTTTCATTTATCACTTGCAAAAATATAAGTTGAAGATAAATAAAATACTAAAATAATAATTGTAAATTGTAAAATAATTATAAAAAAATTTGGTCAAAAGTTTAAAATCCCCTTAATAACTTATATAAAATTGCATTTTTGCTATTATATAATTTATTAAAAAAATAGCTTATAAAATAAATTTCATATTATTAGAATCAATATTAATAGTTATATGTTTTCTTTATTATAATATTTTACTATTTTTTTAATATAATTAAAAAAAAAAGTTGACAGATTTTAAGTATGAAAAAATTATTGGTTATTATAAAGTTGATAATTCAAAAAGAGCAATTATAAAAAAAACCAAATATAATAAGATCATAATTTACAATATTATTATAAAATTTCATAAATTCATTATTATTTTTATTACTCAAAGAAATAGTAATCCAAATAAATAACTTAATATAATAAATATTATTTTAAAAAAAATAACAAAAAATTGTTATGGATTTATAAAAATATATATATAATTTTATAGAATTATTAAAAAATAAAATGAGTTAAAGAATCATTAAATATATTTTATATAAAATAAGATATTATAGCTAAATAGTTTTTAAAAACCCTTTTATTAATAAGATTGATAGAAAAATTCAATTGAATTGAATATATAAAAGATATTTATAAATAATTGTAATATAAAGTAATAAATTAAGATTCATACTATTTAAAAATAATAAAAAATTCATATATAGGAATTTTTTAAAAAAATATATAATTTTACTTGTTTTTTTTTTTCAATAGGTAAATATTATTTCTTTATTTATTGTATTATATTATAAAGTTATATACATAATAAAAGAAATAACATTTTTTAGGTATAAAGCATATAACAAGTTAAATGTCAACTTGCCTATATATCTATATTTAACTAATAACAAAAAAAATTTAAAACAATATTATATATGCTAAATATAGTTGAGAGTAACTATACTTACTCATTTAAAGTTTTTTAATTGGATATAAAGAGAATAAAAGAAAAATAATTAAAAAGAAAAAAAATTGATATTACAATAATATTGACTACTGAAATTAAAATTGAATTATTTGAACTATAAAATCTATATAAATAAAAAAAATATCTAAAAGATAGCCAATTGTTTAGCTTATGAACCAGTACTGGTTTTAGAGACATAACCTTGTTGATATGAATAGTAAAGTATAATTGATATTACTTGTTATTATAATAATTGTTATTATTATTGTTATTAAAAAATTGATTTAAACAGGTTTAGTTTTTTTTTGTTATTTTAATAAAATCTGATTGGATAATTAAAAAGCAATAATTATTTAAAGATGATAAACTGATTTTAATTTTTTGGATAAAATTTTTTGAAATTTTTAAAATAACATAGTAAATAGTGCCATAGAAAGTTATATATAAAGATTATATTAAAACAAACAATAGACCCAACAATTTTGTTTAAGTATGTTTTTTAAAATGTTTAATTTAGCAAGTATAATAATATTAATGTAAATGGTTTTTTGATATAGTAAAAATAAAGAAAAATGCAATAAAACAAAAAAAAAAAAAACTGCTACAGGAATTTTCACATATAACTAAAGAATAAACAAGACTCCTAAACTTAAATAAACTTTAATCAGAGATTCCATTCCATTACACTAGTTGTCTTAAAGGTTCTTGAGTTTTTAACTAGGGCTCATTTGTGATAAAGAGTAAAAATATTTTTTCTTGCTTAAAATTATTATAAAAAAAATTTTTTTAACCAAACAGATATGATCAGAAGAGAGTTTTTTAATATAATTTTACTTGCTTTATTTTTACTATAAAATATAATAGTAAAAAATTATATTATAAAACCATTTTTTTAATTTGAATTATATTTTTTAATTAGAATTAATGATTATTTTAATAATTAAGATTATATAAAAAATATTAACTATTATCTAAGATTTTAAAAACTTTTTTCTATACACAACATTTTTTTTATCTTTGCCTTTCAATATTTAAAAGTTCTTCACACTTCTTTTATCTTTACTATAGGAACTTCAAGAACTTAGGAAAATATATTAGTATATCAAAATAGAATCTCTAACCAGGGAAAAACAAGTTTGGAAGCCTTGTTTTTTTCTTGAATTATATGAGAAAAGACTGTGACAATTACTTTTTTACAAATCTTTTCGAAGGTTCTTCTTATTTAAACTTTTTATTAAAAAGCAATTCTTATTAAATAACCATTTTCTGTTTTTAAAAAGTTCTTTTTTAACTTAAAAAACCAAATCTTACACCAATATTGTTTATATTGTTAATTTGAAACATTAGCAGTATATACTGTATAATACTCACTTTTCAATATCATTTAATATAATATGCTGCACTACAAAAAAAAAAAAAATTTTACTCAAAAAACTTCTCTTCAAAAAACTATAATTAGTTTGTTCCTGTTAACTAATTACCATCTCAAACTCAATCAATCAAATACTATCAAATATCAAAAAAAATTCATACAATCAAAATATTACACAATAATTAATATAAACAAAATCAATTTTGGCAACTATAATTAAAACAAAATTATACCACTGATCTATAGACCAATTATCTTATTAATTATTAATTATACCAATATAACAATAACAACAACTACAATAATAAACTAAATCACATATACTTTATTATCTGTATTAACAAAGATTATATTTACAAATAGCAAAGAACTATAGAGACAAGACAATAAGCCTGGCCAGGGTTCTCTTGAAAATATATATATATTTTTTTATAGATTTTATAGTTTATTTGATTTTGTTAAGTTCAAGTTGTTTTTATTTTTTTTTAATTTAATTTTTTTTTTTTAACCCACAATCAGACTGGTGTCGTATATTTATTAAATCATAGAGAACCATTACACGCACAAGAATACATGCAAAGTACAAATTTCCTCGACCCAGCTCACTTATCTTAAGCCTAAGTCTCTAGATGTGATTTATAGAAGTAATGTGTTGCTAGCCTGATGGTTAGGATTAAGATCCAATTGTACCATGAGGATTACAGCCTGCAGATCACCTCTACAG